GACCACAGCAGTAGCATTGTCAAGGATGATGCCCAAACTGGGCGGTGCTGGACAAAGAAAGAGGAGACTACTCGACACGGTGGTTGAAAGCAAGATATTGTATAGTTTGCCGATATGGGTTGAGGCGCTAGTGCACCAGAGGAATATAGAAACTATTCTGAGGCACCAGAGAATCCTGACACTGAGAACTGCGATGTTGTATAGGACAGTATCAACGGCAGCTGTAATGGTTGTCACGAGTATTGTCTCGGCTCACCTCCTCGCGTAGGAGAGGGCCGAAAAATACCTTCGCAGAGGAGGAAACGACAAGAATAGGGTAGCGAAAGAAGTGCGCAAAGCAACGCTAAATAAATGGCAAAAGAAATCGGATGACGAAGGAAAAGGACTAGGAGGTTGATAGCGGACCTAAAAGCTTGGATTGGACGGAAACATGGTGCGGTGGACTTCCACATAACACAATATCTGCCAGGACACAGGTGTTTCCGGTACTAGCTCCACAGATTCAAAAAAATTGACAAACCGTCATGCCTGGACTGCGGGAACCAGTGGAAGACGCGAAGCATGTCATGTTCCAGTGCGGCACGTGATGGAAGGAGCGCTGAGCCTTCGAAGTGATGCTCAACGAGGGCCTACAACCGAGGACGCTGGTAGACTGTATGCTTCACAGCAGATAGAACTGGGATGCTCTAAGGAAATTTATGAAGACCGTGCAATCGACAAGGGAAGCAGAAGAACGTGTTAGACAGGCTTACAAAATAAAATATGTAGCCACTTATTATTAACAGTAGCATATATAGCCATAGCTCCCCTCCACAAATGAGTCGTATAAAACAAAATAAATTTTTTTTTACAATTTAGTATTTACTTATACATTTTCACAAACATAATTATAATGTTATACATTTTTTTTATCTCTACAGGCTACAAATTTCTTGTACCTATTATTTTCATTTACATTTCTGCTGGTAAGGATTAATTATTTTATTTTTTTTGAAATATTATATATTTCTTATATTTATTTTATATGATGAAAATAGTACTCTAAAAAAATAAAAATAAGTTTCATAAAAAGTCCCTCTAATAATGGAGGCTGCCATAAGCAGTTGCCTATCCTGCCTAATGGTAAATATGGCCCTGCTAATAACATTTATTGACGAAATAGGAAATAAGGCATTACTTTATTAATCAGCATATTGAGTCATTATTCATTATTATAATAATACATATTTATAAATAATAAAACATTATAATGATCTCCACAAATAAAATTTTTTAATTTATTTTTTAGTAGTATAATAAATAATATACATAATAATAATAAAGCATAAATAAATAATTGAATGATATGTACAATTAAAATCTTATAATTTTAATGTATCTGATAAAAGCTGACTTCGTTGGGATACATTATTTATTATTTCTTCATTACTGATATTCATAAGAATATCTTTTTCTATACTCATCAGTAAAAAATATTCTAATTTGTTTTGAGACAAACAATTTCTTAATCGATTCAAAATATATTTTAGTTTTGAAAAAGTAGTTTCACAGCGTACTTGGGTACAGGACAATGTTAAAACATATTTGTAAACTAAAAATAGGTTTTTATATGCTGTAGTGTGTAAATTATATTTTTTTAAAACATTATAACAACAAACAATGCAATTTTTGCATGCTTCCTGTCCACCAATACTTAAACAGTGATTTTTAGAACCATTTTGTATTTCTTTACTTCCATACTCTCCACTTTCTTCATCAATATTATCCTCAAAAAAATTCTCGGAAGTAATGGCAATATTTTTTATTTTGGACCATTTACAGATGAAATCTTTAAGTTCTGCTTGTATTATCCCAGCAGTTATATTTTGGTCAATCCGTTTCAATTTACTACTCATTCATTCAAAAGCAATTTTTGGTACATATTTATTAAAATACTCAGGAATTAAGTAGGAAACATCATTATAGAACCGACTATGACTTTCAAATCTTTTTTCTAAACTTACAAGTATTTGATCATAGACAACATTATGTACATTAATTTTAAAATAATTGTTTGGATCGATTGTTGGTTCATCGCTTGATTTTTTTTCTGGCATTTTCTTTTTTTTTTGATATTCTTTTTGCATGAAAACATTCATCAACTCTATAATCTATATCTGGCTCATCCATTTTATCGTTGGCCCATTCAATAAATTTTTTTGCATGTTCAACAACAACATTACATTTTCTTGATTGTGAACGCAATGTTAATATAGTTTGTTTTATCATATGAAATGCTTGAACAACATTCATTCCTTTGGCCTATAAGTAGTTTGATACAGGTGTTGTGGACACAAAAATTTGTTGGAATATGTGAGCTGTAAGTTTAGTTTCATATTTTAATAGACTATCAACGAGACATTTTGCTCTGAAGCAAACATCTGGTGAAAAATTATTTGACAAATGTATTTCAGTTAAAGTTTTAATTATGTCAATATACAATCCTTCTTCTGGATGTTTGAAGGAACCAAATACATTTGTTAAACAGCGATCTTTTGCCCACCATCTTGTTTCTCCGATGATGGAAATAAATTTAAATCTACTATTTGCCTCCCATTTGTGCATTCTTAAATAAGATTCTTTTACAAAAACAACAATAGAGTTTAATAATCCAAATAAATTTTTACTTTGAACCCAAATTTGAGTAGTGTCTATCATAACCAAATTAAGAACATGGGCATAACACCAACCATGTACCTGTTCAGGTGATTCTTTGTTCAACCAAGCTGAGAATCCGTTATACTGATCCCTCATATTACTTGCTCCGTCAGTTGAGCTTCCAATACAATTTTTTACGTCTAAATTTAAATGTAATAATATTTGGCACACATCACAGAGATTTTTTCCTGTTCCACTTTTGCAATTTATTAATGTTATTAAACGTTCATTTACATCTTCTGAAACATACCGAATTATTATAGACAGTTGGTCATGTACATTTATATCCTGGGTTGAGTCTGAATTGTGAAAAACTCTGATTGTTTTATATGTTTTGCAATTTGTTTTTTCATTAAAAGTCCTAATTCTTCGATTATGTAGTCAGCAGTAGTTTTTGATAAAAAAGTTAACAACCCACCAGGGCGTCCAGATTTTGTTTCACTTTGGTGGCCTTTAGCTTTTTGACTTTTGGAAACCACTTTATCTACATGTTCTTTTAACAGAGGATCATATTTTGAAGGAAGTAAAACTATTTCTAAAAAATTGCCATGATCTAAAGTAGGATTGTCCAATGTGTAAGCGGCTTCTGCATTTTTTGCTCCCCGGTAACTTAATCCACGTTTGCCTATTAATTTTATTATATCTAAGAGTCGATGCATAACGGCTCTTTTCCGCTCTACTTTATACTGTTTACCAGTTGTGAATCTAGATTTAATATCATATCTGATGCATATGAATAATGTAAAAAAGCTTCACAGTTATTTACATGATCTGACTTTTTTTCGTGTTCTTTTATTCTCGTATATGGATTATTAATTGATTCAGCTTTTAATCCTGAAGTGAATCGGTTATCATCACTACCAAAAGCTAGACAAAATGTAGAAAAAAAGCATTCTTATCTTTCGAATAGGTAAGCCATTGTCGCTTAAATGTTAAATTTTTTTCTTTTCTAAAATATGCTTTTGTTGGGTTGAAGCTCACTGTGTCGAATGGTTGAAGAGGGTGAAATTTAAAGAAAGAATGCAAATTAGTTGCCAATGGTTTCTCATAATAATCAATTAATGAATCAGTACAATCTTTATCAATAGGAGTATCTTCTTTATTAAGTAAAGGTAAAATCTGTAAAGAATATTCAATATCATATATTTTAAATCATATTTTATTTTAAAGTGCATTAAAACAAAGTATAGAAATCGCCTTGATGTTCAACACAATATTATGTGATGTGCACTTTCAATGAATCTAAGCATTAAAAAACTTGTTTATACATTAATTCCATGCATGTTAAATTAAAAATAAATAATAGATTAATTTTTAAAATATTGTGTCATCTATATAGTTTTCTATTTGTATTTTTTTTAAATTTATTTTATTTAAGTATATAGTTTATAAATAAAAGTTGTGTTTGTAATTATGAGTTTTTATTCTTGGGTCGCCAAAAGGTTAAATTTAAAATGTTTAAAATGTTATGTTTTAAAATGTTAAATTTAAAATGTCAAATTCACCAACATCTGAAACAGCTAAAGAACTTTCTGCGATATAGCATTTTTCAGACTCGTTAATATTCAATAGATCTGTAAAAGTATAGACATAATATTTCAAAATATTTTAGGAAATGGATAGGAAGTTTGTCAACAAAATTAACTTTAATCAAATAAAAATATAATCATGTGTTCATAAATAATGATGAAAATTATTATAGTATATAAAAGTAGTATATTTATACTAATAATAGTACACAATTAAGCATAATTAAACAAACCTGTAAGATTTGAAGTTAAATAGTTCACTGGCGAAGGAACTAATATTGTAGAATCTTCTTGTTCTATGACTTTTTTTTCAAGATTGAACATTTTGTCAGGCTGTACATTTCCAATGTCATCAGTTAGAACTAAATTAAATGTTTAAAGTATTATAATAGTCCAGTCAAATTAGAAATAAGTTCGGAACTAATTCCACGAAAGCAGGATTTTGGTTTTTTTTTTAGTTTATACCTCACTGATGAACATACTAAAAGTCCTGACATCTACCCCCTGTGCGTAGCTCTCCACACCTCTTCAAAGGGTGGCGCGCCCCTTTTACTATTTTCGCTTATAACTCATCAGCTTTTCAATTTACATTAAAAATACATATGACCAAAATTAAAGACCATAAAATTTACAATAAGAATAAATTATTTTATTTGACATACATATTTATAAAAGTGAAATATAAAGAAAAATTGAATTATGAAATAACTATTAATTACAATAATTTTTAAAATAAATACAAAAATTGAAAATTATACATTTATTTTTATTTTTTCAGACTATAAGTTACGAAATTAAATTTAAAAAATGGTGTAGGTCCTGGAATGGTGTAATGGGGATGTAGGTCCTGAAACAAAATTAATTAATATACTTAATATTTTCATATTTATATTATATTATGTATTGAATTATTAAAATCATACTGTACCTTATTAATTAAATTATGTGAGTCGAATTTTTTTTATTGTCGGTGTGTTGGTTTCTTCTTTTTGATTTTCAATTAGATTTATTTCGTCAATATAGTCCTCTAAATTGTCCTCTTCTTCATCATCTATAATCGGTTGCTGATTTAAACACGAACCTCCTTGACAATGCTTGCATATAACTGAATATAGCAATCCTGCTTTTCGACAGCTACAATTTTGTTCACATGTTTTTGTGCAAGCACAACTAATCACATTCAAAAGAGTATCCAGTGCTGGTGACTTTTTCGTGAAAACTGGATTTAGTTTACCATTATATTCTTTCCAGCCCCAATTCTGTGGATGTATTGCCACGCCACAACTGTATTTGTAAATAAACTCGATGTAAATGTTCTCTTGCCGCATCGATAGTAGGTGGAAGTCTAGCTAGTTGAACTTGTTTTTTGTTAGAGGCTGCGGTTTTTTGAAAAACATCATGTCTTAATTTATTCAAAGACGTAATGTGGGTTGGAGCTTTATATAATGTTAAAAGATATTTTTCTCCGGCACGTTCAATTTCTTCCGGCGATGAAGATTCATTATTAAATATTAAAATAAGTTTTTTGCCATTTGTAAACTTACCACCAAGCTCACCCGATTGTATTCATTCGGTTTTCATTTTCACAGCTCAAGAATGTAAAAAATTAAACCAAAGAACGTGTTTTGTAACTTTTGACCAGCCCTTTTACATAAAAGCACGAAATATTGTTGAATTCTCTAAATTAAATCCACAAATAGTTCTAATTAATACATATTATAAATGTAATATTATTACATATGATCTTGTTTTAAGATATACTAAGAACACTTAAAAACTTACTTTTAAATTCCCCTCCCCCAGAAAAAATTGTATCTTTGCCACTAACTTAATGTATATTATACCAAAATAATAAGTTATTACCATTTTTGTACACTGGTTTTCATTCAAGCTACTCATTTACTCAATTCTTACTACGGTAAATAACAGTATTAAAAATAATCAAAACGAATGAGATTTCATAATCGAGTAAAGTACAAAGATATGTATAAACACATAAGTTTGTATCACGTAAAAATGTAAGACCCTTAGTCATAGGCGTGCACAGACCTCTTTTTCAGAGTATGCAAAAGGTTGCCACTGCCTATCCCTATCATCACCGAAAGTTAATTTAAGCGTTCAAAACGCTTGTTACATTTTTTACACAAATATCTAAATAACTGTTTAAATTAAAATTGTAATGTTTTCTAAAAAAAAAAAGAGACCTTATAGTCATTTATTAATTGTTATAATATTCTTCATAATATATATATAATTTAAATAAATAAATAAATACCTAACACTTGCAATATTTTGAGTAATACATTTAAATAGGATAAATAAACAAAAACATAATCATTTAAACGAAAAAACAAAATAAATTTGTTAAATAATTATAATTGATTATAAAACAATACTGTGTTCAATTGAGTTTTTAATATCACCAATAATGTCTTTGGGATTTTAATTTAAACCCCTTTCTTGCTCTGTATTTGAAAAGTAAGGTACGAAAGGTACTATGTTCTTGAAGCATAGTACTTTTTAATTTCATTAAAACATTAAATTCTTACTATAGTATAAAATGAATGTTTCAAAATAAATAAAAATATCCAGGAATAAATATAAAAATATAATAAAAATCATAATGTAATACAAAGTCACATAATATACATTTAAAAACCAAATATGTTATGATTTTTATTTATTTTACGTATTTTTAGAAAAAAGGCTCCATGTTTAGGATAACAGTTGCATACCCCCTGCACATGCCTGTGCCCATAGTATTTACTATTATAAGGAAAAAATGATATGACGAAGAAAAATATTGGTCCGCATAAATGTTGGCACCTCCATTATAAAGATCCAAAGGCGCCACTGCTCATAATGCATTATTGCAAAGTAATTTAACAATAATTGCGTTGTGAAATAACTTTTTCTGTTATTATAAAAGAGAGGCAAATAATCAATAGAGTAACAGATATTTGTAATATGCCAGTAATTCTATAGTTAAAATTATAGTCTTATAGTTTCTTTTTCTTTGGTTCGCTAATATTCAACCACGATTTTATTGACTATGTATATGTTACGGGCAAAAGCCGAAATCGGACAAACCTCAGAAATGCCCGGGCAAAACGCGAAATGCCCACAATCCTTGGGCAAAATGTCATATTTCGGATTTTGACCGGGCAAACTTAGTTATGACCAACCTCATTTGGGCAAAACCGCCAAAACCGTATACTGACTTTTAACGTAAGGGCAAAACCGTAGAGTCTTAATTACGTTCGCTAATATTTAATACAAATAATTATAAAATAAATATTATTGTACAAATATAATTGAATAAGCTTAATTAATACATTTAAATCTCACTTGGGCCAAACTGTAACGTTTTAAATAACTTCACAAATATTAAATACAAAAAAATAATAATCATAAAATATT